GAATGATTTTTATTAATATAGTATTTATTGCAATTTATTGCAAAATGGTGGGGTATTTGACCAATATTTATTGCCCGACGGCGAGGCATTTTATTGAAAATTTGCTCAAAAATGCCCAACCCCTCTGGGGCTTAACATTAACATTGCCGGCTTCTGTCAGGATTCGTAACCCTATTTAATATGCCATATTGTAGCTAAATGGTTGAGGCATACCATGGCTGGTTTATATTGCATGTAGAAGGGTGCTTCCCATATGTGTTATATATTTAATATTACAGTGAATACGGTATATATACCATTTACATACTTTGTTATTTGAATGCTGTGTTTGTCTCCAAGACAAGGAAGAATGACTTTAACTTCATCTCCAGGACAAATTAGCTTGTAGCTACACAGAATTTCTTGCCTATTTATTTCTATCTCGGCTTCACAGTTATTCGCAGATTTTACATAAAATTTATTTTCACATTTGCTAGTGACATACCAAACCGGCTTCTCGACCGAGTTCGGCTTTGTTGCACTTTTGCCGGCTTTGGTTGGGGTTTCTTTGGAAAAAAATCCATCCAAATTTGTATTGCTCTCCTCGGCTTCTGAATATATACAGTCTTTACTGTTTAGTTCTTCCCTCAGCTCGTTAATCAGGTTATTCGCCACCCCTATATTTTCAATTTCTTCGTTTGCCGTTTTTTCTCTCCAAAAATCGAGGGCATATTGATATCGAAGTTTGTACGAAGGATCAGAAAGTTGTAGCTTAAATCGTTTTCTTATGAAAGTCAATTCTTGCAGAGTATTTTTTATTTTTGTCTTTATTTTGTACTGATCACTCTGTTTCAATATCGTTTCTTCAACTAGTGTCCCAAGGCCAAGAGTAGTACGGGTTGACATGTTAATACTTCAACTTGCAAACCAGTAATTTTTACACGTCCGAACACAAATTCTTTGCAAACGTTTCCGATCATGTATCAAATTAACAGAATCTCACAACTATGAAACCGACAACAAACTATAGAACGATAAATATGAAACAACAACCGCTTGGTTTCATTTCTATTTCCAGGTACTCCAAAGCAATTCTTCGAAAACAGCGAGCCCGCACTCGGAAGCGACAAAAGTCGCATCTTGGTTTCAATTTCTGCCATACTTCACTTAAGCATTTTAGATAAATTCATTTTACGAAAGAAGCTAGGTTCAAATGCGGAAGCGGAACAGAACGGATATTGGGGTTAAAATGCGTAAAGGAACGGATATGGGGGCTAAAATGAAGTTTTAAAATGTGCACAATTTGGTTGTTAGTGAAACAATTTAACTTTCGAGTTGTCGCGTGTAGCATCAATGAAATGCCTCATTATCTGTCGTTTTTAATGCGTTTGGCACATGAGTAGCGCGACGTCCATATCCGTTCCGTTCCACTTCTGCATTTTAACTAACCTGCGATCAGGCCTATTAATAAATAAATAGGCCTGATACAAATCTTAACAAAAGTCCATGCATTACAACCGTATTACGGTTGTAAATCTGATTGGTCTATTAGACAAAAGATCTGTAATTTAATCTGTAATTTGATTGGTTAATGCTAACATGGAAAATAAACGTCACAGCACGGTTAATAGAACCGTGGTCACAGATTGCAACTAGGTTGTTTTTGCTTACGTCAGCAACACAGGGGGTCCAACTAACAGCTGTGTTATGAATAAAACATATTAATTAAACGTAATATGAATAAAACATCATAACGTAATATTGCACTTACTTGTATAAATCATAAGAGCTTGCATTTTAATACAGTGAATAGCTTCAAAAACTTGCTTCGTTCCAAAGACTTCAAATATGGCGAATAAATTGACAAAACGATAATATTACATGACGTTCCAACGAAAATAACAGAAAGGATTGCGGGCGCGAGCGGAAAGGCGAGGGTAATATATATTAATAGAAGGGATGAAACACCGGTAATGCGATCGTGTGATGTGTTCCATAAGTAGCCTGTTCTCTCGGAAAATTCCAAAACGCCTCCTGCCAACTCCAACAACGCCTACGCGCTTAATTAATGAAAATAAACAATGTTTAGCTATACCGGCTAATATGAAATGTTTAAATGTAGCGACCAACGTTTTTTTTTACATTATTTAATTTTATTATTATTTCGTCATACGTCACGAGAACAGGCTACTTATGGAACACATCTCGCGATAATGGCCAAGAATGCTCGCTGTTATAAATGACATAAATTAGATTGATCAGTGCTTTTTTGGTAATGACTAGGCTTGTTCATGTAAGAGAACATCGACTGAGCCTTAAAAAACCCACAAAAAGCTTAAACGGATAGTCTAGAAGCATTTTAAAAAGTCACGTGATATTTGTTTCATCCCTTCCATTTATTTCTTCCCTCGCCCTTTTCGCTCGCGCCCCCGCAATCCTTGCTGTTATTTTCGTTGGAACGTCATGTAATATTTTCATTTTGTCAATTTATTTGCCATATTTGAACAATCGCTTGAAGCAATGTTTCTGAGCATATATAAGCGCCCTGTTTGAAGCTATTCACTGCAAATACAAGCTCTTATGATATATACAAGTAAGTGCAATAATTTAAATATATTACGTTATGATGTTTTATTCATATTACGTTTAGTTCCAGTGTCATATATATATATATATATATATATATATATATATATATATATATATATATATATATATATATATATATATATATATATATATATATATATAAACAGGTGGGAAATTTGTCTCAGCATGCGCGAGCAAAATGAGTCACGCAATTGAGTGGAATACACGCAACGCGTGTTTACAAAAAGGCAGAATCGTGTAAATATTGCCAAATGTTTGTACAAAATAAATGACTGTTTTATGTTGAAAATGGACATGATCTAAATTAATCATACAGAATTTTTTAGTGACGTTCTATTTCAGTACCCTGCCATTGTCTCTGGTGGGCTGTCCGTGTACATTCGATCTGAAACAGTTGCTACTTTGCTGTCGAAGAATTTCGAATGTTTACATGAAAATAGAGGCAAGTCATGCATTTTACAACCTCTTAAACTGTATGAGCCCCTATTTTTACGCTTACACCTAAGATATCAAATAAAAGTACATGAAACAGAGAACATTTGTAGAAAGTTTTATCGTGAGGCCACGGCCAGTTTTTAAAATATCTTTATTTCTGTTCCGGTCATCACCAAAATTACACAAAAGCCGGGCTTGAATATACAACAAATTTTGAATCTCATCAATTACAAAAATATTTAACGTGAAACCAAAATATGCTCATAAACTCGAAATTAATAGCTAAATTTTCAAATTAGACCCTACTCGAGTCGGTTTTTATGAAGGAAGTTCACATTTCGGCCTTTGATTCTTGGCAAAAATTTGACCACAACACGTGCGAAGCAACCGCGTCTCAAAGACTGAATTAAAACATTGTGAGCCCCTATTTTCCTGACGATATGTTTGATACCTACAAACGCCGAAAAGTTTTTTCTTTTCATTTAGCTATATTTGAAATTGAGGCCACGGGCTATTTTTGAGAAACTAGTACAGTTCAAAGTCAAGCTATTTTTACATATTTTCAAAATTTGTCAAATTTCGCGAGCTTGTATTTTGAACTTAGACAGCTGAAGTTACATTATGAAACATAGGATGGAAAATTTGAGGCATATAAAGTTAATTTCAACTCACATTTCATTCTCAAATCACGTCTTTCTTCGTTTATTACGGTTTTAAATAAGCCATAGATCGACGTATACCGAGGGGCATTTCACTCCAAAAAGCGTACGGGATTTTCGGATTTTTAAAAATCCGCGGATTTTTTAGCGGATTTAGCGGATTTTTCCCGGATTTTTTAGCGGATTTTTGAAGAGAAAATTTGGTGGATTTTCCGGATTTGTGCGGATTTTTTCTGGATTTTTGAAAATCTGTTGGATTTTCCGGATTTGTTTGGATTTTCCGGATTTGTTCGGATTTTTTCTGGATTTTTTTAAATTATAGAGTTATAGAGCTAGGTAACGTTTTGAACAAATAATCTTAAGTTGTACGACGTCAACGTAACAACGTTATGCCAGTACGTCAGGGTCGAGCCGAGGACTGGGACTAGGACCACAGCCTTCAGAAACTAACGAAGGCTGGGCATGCAGTCATTTTGTTTAAAATTCAAACAATTTCATTATTCTTTCAAAAACAGTAAAAGACAATGGTGAATAACTTTTGGTTTTGTAATTATATTTTACAACATAACGTCATTGTAACAAGAACACATATTTAGTAGTAATAGGCTAAAAAAACTTAGCATATACTCGAGCGTATAAATGGAAATGTAGAGTGGTCCATTAATTACGAAATATAATGACATCGATCCATAGGCGTACGGGCCCGCTAAATTCCGGGGGGGCGGTAGCTTTTTTGCCCAAAAAATTCCACATTGCCCAAAAAATGTGAAAAAAATTTTTCCGGAAAAATTATTTTGGCGACCTCCTCCCCCCCCCCCCGTCGCCAAAAAAATTTCGGTCAGTGTACCATTTTAGGGGTCAAAAAAATTTTCCGGACATCCAATATTTTTCGGAACGTAACACAAATTTTCCAAAAATCACTAAATTTGCCAAAAAATTTACTTAATTTTAGACAAAATTGACAGAATTTGTCCCATTTTTTTTAATTGCAAACCAAAATTGCTCAAAAATTTGCCCAATCTGCCCAAAAAACTGGGATATTGCCCAACTGCCCAAAAAACTGGGGGGGCTACCGCCCTCCCCCCGCCCCCCCGCCCCGTACGCCTATGCATCGATCACGATAAGCGTTTAGCTTTCGCTGTCCGCCATTTTAAACGTGGCAAAGAACCTTTACGAGGAAATTACACCAAGTACTTCATATATTTTTTGTGGATTTTTTGAGGATTTTGAAGGATTTCTGTGGATTTTTGAAGGATTTCTGTGGTTTTTAAAGGATTTTTCGGATTTTGATGGATTCAACGGATTTTGAGGATTTCATGGATTTTTTCTGGATTTTTTGACGAAGTGTACGGGATTTTTGGAGTGAATTGCCCCTCGACGTATACGGTATTTACTCCCATGTTCACGTCGCCATATTAACTCAGTTTTCCATCACTCGATTACAAAACAATCATCCCAAAACAAAGAATTCATGATCGACTTTTAAAAGAATAACCAATAACTTGTAAATCGTTGAATGGAAAGCAAAAAATCGTCAGCTAAAACAGCTTCTTGCTAACTTTCTGCTTTGTTTTGGATGTAAATGCAATGAGCTTTGTTTCTGCCCGCAATTTTTTGGTCAGCGACGACAAATTTCCCACCTGTTATCCATGGTGCTAATTAGATTATACTATTGTCGTTGATAAATTGATAGTGATCACTACTATAATTAGATTGTTATTGTCGTTGTATGAAATTTAAATTTCTCCTGCGACATTTTGATTGGATACTAAATATGAACTTTGCTGTGGGCGGAAAGCGATCGGACTAAGGTTTGTGTCAGCCTCTTATTTGTAAAGTCACCGAACTGTGGAATCGCATTAAAAATTCGTTCGCTCACAGGCGGCCCAATCTCGCAAGGGTCAGTATAGACTTACAGTATAAATGTATATTATATTATATTATATTATATTATATTATATTATATTATATTATATTATAGTAACAACAAAGGAGGAATAAAAGGAGAACACACACTATCAAATAGGCAAGTCAATTTCATTTCAAATTTATATTTTACGACATATTTTTACTATAATATACATTAATATAATATAATATAATATAATATAATGTAATATACATTTATACTATAAGTCTATACTGACCCTTGCGAGATTGGGCCGCCTGTGGTTCGCTCTTGTTCCCAGAACAGTTTTTTAAAAATTTCAACTTTTTGTAAAGTCCTTTGTAACTGACTGTATAAGGTTCAAGTGGTGTGGTCAAATGATTTTATTCATCTGTGCTTCATTACTATCAGGTCTATCAGTGGCACACAATTAAGGGAGGGCAGATCGAAGAGGAACCGATTACTATCAGTGCTGTGTACACACTGGATGGAGATTGGAGGCAGGATAGCAAATAATTTGATCACTGTCAGTGGTGCACCCTGGATGA